TAAGTGTACTCTTGGACAGAGTCTAATCTCGTTGTAGGGACTGCTCCCTCAAGGACTCCTAGAGGAGACCGCTGACATTTAACCAGTGGAATCCTCACAGGTCCAGCCCTCAGGGGATTCAAGCCCTGTTAAAGTCTGACGGAGAAGCTGCGGCGTGTAGTCCTGGTCCGTCCAGCTCTGACTCTCTGCGGCCTCAGAAGTGCCGCTGCCATTAAAAACCGGAAATTTTAAACATATGGGACGAGTAGTGGAGAAGGCAGGGCAAACACACCGTACGATAAAGCAGAGGCAAAGTTAAAAGCGAATGGGGACCCCCTTCTTTATTAGAAATGTCTCATGGTTGTTAGTGACAGGCCTTCAGTTTGATTTCCTCATCTGTATTCTCAGTCTTCCCCTGCCTTTTATCGCAGTCTGCGTTCTTTCAGTCTCCTTACAACTTGTAGTCTGTTTTTTCGTGTCACATTTACGACCTTCTTCATACTTTTGTCTTTGCAGAGTTAAGATGAATCACTGAAATAGTAAGTTTTCATTTGCTTTGGAGTAGAACTTACAATGGCACTGATTAAGGTTTATTAATTGATATTAATTGGAAATCATTCCTAAGAAATTCTGCTGCCTATGTTAGTCAGAGGACTTCACTGAGCACATCAGAGGTGTTCAGCTAATCTTGGACTGTTCGATTTTTCAGAAACGGTCCCAGCACCGTCCTCTGGGTGTGCATGATAGGATGTGATCTGAAATATTTTGGTTAAGTGTGTCTTGCATAAGCTATTTATTTTCAAGGATTTGTCTCTGTCCCTGATAAGAATCCTTGGCTACTGCATACTGTGCACAACATGCTTGATAAGAAAGATGATGTACCAAGAAATTCACCAGACGTATCTTGATATTATATACATTACCTATGACATAGAGTACTATGTCATAGGTAAGTGCTGTCTGACAACTGGCATGACTTTCTTTTAGCCACACTTCTACAGCCTAATTGATGTAATGCTGCACAGGCAACTGTCCAGCATCTATCTATCTGTAGAGGATCTCAGAGGTATTACTGAAGTGAGCACTACTTTCTTGGTCACTTGCCTTCCTTCCTTAAACTTTTACTGAGTTGGCTGAAAGGCCAAGTCAGAAAAGTGCTTCCTGATTTCTTCCTTTTCACAATGATGCCCACAAAGCTCCTGGGAAGCTTCATCGATGCCGCAGTTTCTCTCACTCTTTCATTGATCGGTGCTGCAGCATAATTGTATTTTGAAATTTTTTGGACTATAGAAATGTAAGGATACTCTTTTTGCTCTGTTATTGTACAGTAGGTACTGTAAAATCTATCAAACCGATTACAATAACACAGGTAGCAATTAAAAATGTCTTTTTTTCATTTTAAATATTAGTAGGAGTATTTAGTGGGAGCACTTTTGCATTTGAGTGTTTTTTATGTTCATTTTTTATGCATTTCAGCATTACTGTGACACAAAATTAGTATTAGCTCTCAGTTAATATTTGAATTGTACCATAAACAGAATGCTCCTCCGTCTCTATCTTTCTATATATCTCTGCTGTATGTTTCTCCTTCTTTCATAAGTAGCAGCTCTCAGAGGGAGAAGAGTGATTCCCACAGTGCACTTCAGATAAGACACAGCAGGGAACTGTCTTCATCCCTCCTCAACCATCTCTCCACTTAACATTCTTCTTCCCAAGGAAATAGCCCCATTTATTCAAAAGCTGCAAAGCACTGTCAAGGCTTATATGCTGGAATATGTGCCGTGACAAACCAATTGGCTTTTGCTCTTTTGAAGGTATAGGTAGTGACACATACATGGTTCTCAGCTAGCATTCAGTAGTATCCAGTTTAGCTGCCAGTGCTCACCCATTCTTTTGTCCTTGTTGTTTACTGTCTGTCTCATTTATGGAGAAATGATTGCGTAGTCTTATAGGTTAATAAAACCAGAATTATTCACTGCCTTGTATTTTGCGCCTGGTCACTCACATCGACTTCACACGAGCCCAATCAATAGCCCAATAGGAAGAGTACTGTGACCAATTGGAAAGGAGAAAAGTGCTAGTAGAAGACAGTATTGTGTAGTGGCTGCTTAGAGAATATTTCAGGCCGTGGAGCTCTCTTTAGTGTTGGACTGCTGGAATGCAGAAAAATCCATCAAGAGGAGCTGACGATCCAAGGAAACTCTTTAAATAGGTTGCTTTATTGTTTCGCTCTTAGTATTAAAATGCACCGTTTATGCAAACTGAGCAGCTTGACCTTCAGAGACTAAAGGGAAGCAAGAAGATAAGACTGAATAATGTGACTGGTTAATGCTCGCATTCAGTTTTCAGGGAGAGATTCCAAAAAGATCGAATAGCGGCTCAGACGGGAGCTTCACCCGCACGCAGGCGAGCCCGCTAACCTGAGCAGCACCACACTGGCACACTGACACATTCTGCTGAGAGTTGGTCATCTGCACATCCCGGCAAAGCTTTGAACTGTTGTTGCTTGAAGTGCTTTGAATGCTGTGCCTCTGTCAAATCTGAGAGATCAAAACTGGCGCTGGCGTGTGCGCGCGTGTGTGTTTACATATACTGGCGCGTTGCGTTATTTACCGAACCTTGCGGCGTTCGACCCTGGCGGTGTTTATGAGTTATTGTTTCACAGGTTGCTGCGCAAAGAGAGATAGAAGGTGGCATGCTTCAGGGAAAGGAAAGGATACATCAGATCACATTCTTTATCCACACACACACACATTTAGATATCATCCTAACACTCTTCCTTTTTCCAAAAAGTGCCACACACACACACACACACACACACACACACACACACAGACATGCATTCACCCAACACTTAACCATCAAACTGCCTTCTTGACATCAAAGCAGAATTGATAATGTCGACATCCATTCCACACACACACACACACACACGTTACATGCAACAATATTTAATTAATTCACCTAGAGTTTGATTGCGTATATTTTCATCCAATTAATTTGTTGCTGTGCTCGGGTGTCGCGCTGCAGGCTGTGGGGTACCTTTAGAGGTGTTTCCAATTTCCTCCTAAGCAGACAACTTGACAAACATATTAAATATATCAGAGAAATGCAGCTTAGATGTTTATTCAAATGCAGTTATTGTTGTGGGGGAGTGGATTAGTAACTCTGTTCCTTCACTCGGCAATTGTCAGCCAGGTTACACTCAAAGTGATGCAGCAGAGCTTCTCAGGGGCCCAAAAAGAGAGAGCAGAGCATGGAAAGTTACTGAAAGCTGTCAGCTTTGGTTGTTGTGTTCTCATTTTTTAAAAATTATTTTTTATTTTCATTTTTTTCTAACAAGAAATAGATTTTCTCCTCTTCCTTTTTCACTCTTATTGCCACAGTGTCGTTCCCTGTAGTCAGAGCAACTGCACTAAAAGAAATATAATGTTAACCCGAGGCCTACGATTACATCTTACAACTTTCAGACATACTTTTAAAAAAAAAAAGTAAATTATATTAATTTTCACTACATAAATCTGAGAAATGATCCGGGACCCCGTCTGCATACATTACACAACACAGCGAGGATTCCAGGGGTAAAAAACTTGCTCTGTTACTCTCGTTGACATTTGTTGCTCTCCTTAAATTCTCATACGGCGGTCTAGCTTAATGTGGTTGGACAGACCCGTTTGCGATGCTGTTTATGTTTGCATGCAGAGACCACTGCGAGAGAGCAGAGCACACATTTCATTACACAAATTACAAATGCGTACACACATATGCCCCCTCTAACCCAGGCGTTTACACACAGTTACACAGTTTCATAGACTCTGACACACCACTATTTACACACACACACATGCAAATAGACTTCTACTCTCCCCTGACACCAGTGCAGACAGACTGTGGGGTCAACTGCTCTCTTACTGTGTCACTTTAGCTCTGGCTCAGGGCCCAGCTCAGTTCAACACCATGACCTCCCCATGTGGTCGCACTCTGCCCCTGCGATAGACAAGACCACACACACACGTAAACGTAGACACCCATACATACACACACATACACACACACACTCTCTGGTCTGTGTCTACAGGTCTGGTAAACAGGAGGAGAGAGTAGAAGACCTGTGCAAGTGTTTTTTTTTCTTTTTTAGTGGAATATCAGGATGCGTCCCATTCTCCTTCACGTCCTTTCCCCTCTGTACCTGTACACATTCTCATTTCTTATTAATCGTGCATGTATGTGTGGCTGTTTTGAGATAAAATTCCAATTAATGATGCCGTTGTTCCACAGACTTTTCGGGCTACCTGGTAAATGTGTGTCTTTATCCAGCCTTCTCTTTTTTTTAATTTAATTTTTTCTTTTGTTTGTTTGTTTGTTTTTTTTATTTCACACATGACCCTCTGGTGTAGCATCTTGCAACCTTTCTGGGCATTTCATATATCTTTGCTTTTAGCTTTTTGATACCCAAGACCATTTCTGTGGGCAACACAGATAGGCAATGCATATATTTACAGACAGCAAAGCGCAACAAATACTTTCTGTTGTAGGGATAGATGCATTATTGTAACAACAACAGTTTGCCTTACCAAGGCAAGTTGCTCTTCCACTTGCAAACAAGAGGGTTAAGTCTGCCATAAATTTGTCTTGTGTGCCTGATCTCCACGGACAACTCAAAACAAACGTTGGGGTTATTGTTTCACATTCGCGTCAGTTTAGCTGTATTACTGAAATCATTGCTTTTATTCATCCAGATGGACTACAAATACTTTGTTATTAGATGTCATCATTCATGGGAAACGCTGCAGGGGATCAATCACAATCACAACCAAATTGTTTTGGATAATAATAATTATTAATTAAGTTAAACTGCCATCTATTGCTTTCGTAGTTAATAAAGCCTTCCTGTACCTGCTTCATTCTTTATTTTTCTCTGACTTTTAAATGTAATTAAAGGAGATATCTTCCTGCATACACTTGGGTTGTTGTTTGTATATATTCACTTCTCTTTGTGTCTTCTTTGATGCGTCTTTCAGGACACACCGGTGGGCAGATCCATATTCATGGTAAACGCCTCCGATCCAGACCAAGGCACTGGGGGCAGTGTTCTCTTCTCCTTTCAGCCACCTTCTGCCTTTTTCGCCATTGATGGCGCCCGAGGCACTGTCACTGTGACCAGAGCTCTGGACTATGAGACGACGACAGCCTACCAGCTCACCGTCAACGCTACGGTCAGCACACATACAGTATCAAAACTTAGTCTCTGTTAGCAAAGTTGCATTAGCGCTGTTAAATGTATACTGTGTTTGTTTTTGTTTTTTTGGTTTCTGAAAGGATCAAGACAAAATCAGACCTCTGTCCCGGCTTGCCAGCTTGGCTATCACCATCACTGATGTCCAAGACATGGATCCCATTTTCACCAATCTGCCCTACAGTACCAACATAGTAGAGGATGTTCCCCTGGTCAGTAATACAGTCCCACTTTACATCTCACCACCACAGTGTGTACCCTCTTCAAGCAGCTTTCGTCCTTTCTTTCTTTCCATCCTGCTCTGATACCAGAACATTCAACTTATCTTTTACCTCATTTCTCATATCCCGCTCTTCCTGTCCCATGCTCATGTTGCTCTTTGATTATTCAGTAGGTGTATACAACTCGTGCAAAGAAATATGATTAAAAACAAAGAGTTTCTGAAAGTAGAATGGGAGACTGAGCCTTTAGCTTTCAGGACCTTCTTCTGTGGAATCAGCTCCCAATCTGAACAGGATACAGATGGTTCGTACTTTTTAGGTTAGGCTTAAAATTCCCCCTTTTGATAAAGCTTATAGTAGATCAGCTGACCATGAATCCTCCCCTAGTTTGGCTGTAACAGGTCTTAGCTGTGGTTGTTTCCCATGATGCAATGAGCATTTCTCCTTCACTCACCTCTATGTGTTTACAATTGAACTCACAGTGTGTCTTTTGTCCTGTCTCCCTCTCCTCACTGCCAAGTCTGGTTCTGCCAGAGGTTATTTCCTGTTAAAAGGGAGTTTTTCTTTCCCACTTTTGCCACGTGTTTGCTCAGAGGGGTCATTTAACTGTTGGGGTTTTCTCTGTATTATTTTTGGGGCCTTACCTTACATTATAAATTACCTTGAGGTGATTGTTGTTGTAATTTGGGCTCTATAAAAACAACTGAATAGACCCTAATTGAATGACGGCATGATATTTCACATCTTATCGTCACTCCTGAGCCTCCAACACTGGAAACCTACATGCACCCAAATTCAGTCCAGTGCCCCCATATACAGCACTGTGGTGGTTGAAGATGGAAATTACTGTTATAGATTTACAATCCTCATTCATAAATGCGAAGCCCCTGCCAAAGGTCACCAGGGCTACAGGATTTCTGGTCTTATGCGCTCATACTGTGGCATGTGTATGAAGTCTGGGTATAACATGAAGTACATTAGGGACTCAAAATGGCAGTAACTTTGTTTCAGTTTCAAGTAGGTTTATAATGGGTATTTGATACACTAAATGTCTGTTTCTCTGTACACCATTATGTTCACTCTCCCGGCTCAGCTCTTAAACTCAGTTCCCAGGTGGCTAATGGTCCAGCTACTGATGTTTCCACTTGTAGAGAGAGAATTACACACAGGGGCATAACACTGTCCGTCCCGATTTTGGTTTCTCACTCTATCAGTTTTCGTTCTGTCTCGTCCCCAGTCTCTCACCCATATCAGCCCCCCGACTCACACAACAACCCGCACGTCCCTCGTTCCCAGCCCGAATGCGCTGTAGTAGAAATGTCAAGTGCTACATTTGCATGCATATTAACGGGGCGTGACGGAGTCGAAGCCCGGTGTCTCCCGGACTCTCTGATTCATCAACTGTCACCAGGAAGGTCACAATAGAAGGAAGGGGGGAGGTGTGAGGGTATGAAAAGAGACTAGGATGCCGGGGTGGAATGAGAAAAAGGTGACCGGAGAGAAGAAAAAAAGCCAGGTATAAAGTTAGATGAGGGAATAAGAGGGAAGATTTTTTTAAAAGAGTCCAATTACATTGGATTGTAAAGTTAACATTAGTAAGTGGATTCCAGATCACAGCAGCTTGGAAGCTTTAATCCTCAGTAATACTGCCTCGGAGTGCCTCATCTCTTACCTCTAACAGTAGGGGGCAGTGTCTAATCCTATTACAGTTACAATGTAAGAGCAGGTCACGGCAGATGCACAGCCAAAATCAGAAATCTATTACTTAGCCCTGTTGACCCCACTACAGACACAGGATTACAACAGTGCTTAAAGCCAGACACATGAGTACAAGCCCGCAGCAGCACCACACTTATACACAGACACTCCTTCAATGACCTCATGTGGTATTCTGTGTCATTTCCATTATGCAGTGTTTGGTGGTGATAAGCC